CTCATGCTGACACAAGGTGAGCTGTGTGCGATGGCTTATCTCTTCCTCATCTGAAGAATCCGTCATGGCTACTTCCGAGGTAGCAATCGATACAAGCCGAGACGTATCCAATGGGGTGACCTTCGATACTGAGGACGGTTCGACATATCCCAATCGTGCTGAAAACGTCACTGGAAGGCTGTAACCATTGCGTGGGCCTACTCTGGCAATGACTGTGTGACCACATGGTGTCTTGCCACTCGCATATTTGCCGTATTTGAGGAAGGAGTGGGCTGTCCTTGGAGCTAATACTGGTTCCCTTTGTAGAAGAGACTTGAACAACTGGAACCAAGGCTCGTGGGGTGCCCACGGTAGTCGGATCGTATCTTGCGCAACATTCTATGGATTAATCTCCATGGTGGGTTCATCCATCCGTCAATATCCTTCCAACAATGTGCAAACGCTCCACCCCTGTCATCGTCGGTGTAGTAGCGTGGCAAATGGTGATCCTGTTGCAAAGCAAAGACATCGACATTATTCTCACCCATAATCCGTTGCGCTTGCTCAAAGTATTCTGGAAAAAGTTGCCAACATTCTGCATACAGTACCTCCGGGTCCTCAGTCTCAGCAGTTCCCTCATGAAGCCTACACTACGCGTCTGGTAGCACGTTCTTTATACCCGGGATGTGCGAGATAGTGAAATTGAAAGGCACTATGATGTGATGCCATCGTTGTAGCATCGGATTCAGCTTTAGCTGTGTGTTCATATACACCAATGCCTTGTGATCAGTCAACACTGAAAAGCATTGACCTTCGAGGTGATCCCGGAAGTGTGTGAGACCATATACCAAGGCCAATATTTCCTACATGGGTGCTGCGTAATTGCGCTGTGCTGCGTTGAGGGTCTTGCTGAAGAACATTAAGTATTGCTTCTTCCCTTCTATGGTCTGGAACAATGCACCTCTAATACCGTAATCGCTTGCATCCGTTTCGAGTTGTAAAGGTGCTTCGTCGACGGGAAATTTCAACACTACTGCCTCAACTATGGCTTGCTTCATGGCATCCCAAGCTTGCTGGTGTCTCTGTTTCCACCTGTCTCCAACGATTTCCTTAGGCCTCTGTCTTACGAATTCCTGGAGTGGGGCAACTACCTCTGCAAAGTTTGGTAGGTGCTCGTAAAGAAAGTTGGCTAATCCCAAGGCCGATGCAATGTCTTTGTACTTCTTCGGGGTTGGCCAGTCAATGAGCTTGGCCTGCTTTTCATGGCAAATATCAATTCCGATTCCCTAGGATCATGACTTCCTTGACTGCAAAATGACATTTTGAAGGGTTTAGTTTGAAACTGTGGTACGTCAACCGCCGAATGACCTCTTTCACTACTCGTACGTGTTCCTCGTAGCCATCTGTTGCTATTACGATGTCGTCCAGGTAGTGGTATGCCGGAAGTCCTTGCAATATCGCACTCAGTGTACACTGAAACTGCTGCGTCAGTGTGTGTAGTCCAAATGGCGCTGATATAAAAGAATACTGGCTTTTGCCATGTGTGAAACTGAATAGATACTGAGAATCAGGGTGAATTGGGAGTCGATGGTACGCTGCGGTTAGATACAATGTCATGTAATATTTCTTCCCTTTGATGTTACCAATTATGTCGTTGATACGGGGAATAGTGAACTGATCCGCCGGTATTAATGCATTCACCGCTCTGAGGTCCAAACACACTCGCACTTTCTTTAGTTCTCCAGATTGAGTATACTCTGGCACGGCGAGCAAGGGTAAGTTGACGGAAGTGGCTGTATCCCTTTGAACTATGACCAAATCTTGAATCCACTTCTGCACCTGTCTATCTACCCATGGTATCCATTTGACTGCTACAAAGTTCCTTACTGCCTTCCGCATCCTTGCAGCTTGATCTGATGTCACTGGCAATCTAACTTCGCCTCCTTCCAGTCTGCACCTGTCCTATCTTCGAATACCGTCATTGTCCCTCAGTTCTTTGTCTAGTTCCAGGCGAACACCGGTTTCCTCGGTCAAATCTGGTGGTTATCTCAACGGTATTGGTTTCAATAGTTTGTCTAGCTCCGTTGGATCTATGGGTGAGAATGGCGATTGAAGGCTTCCCACGTATAGCCCTAAGCCAGGCATAAGATCCTGGCCTGGATAGCCGGTGGTAGATTCATTAGCTCGTAAGACTGTTCTGTGAGCTCTAGACCATATCGTACTGGAGTTTGTACGGTGGAGCCTATTCGTCGTGTACGAAGGCTACGATCAGCTAGGTATATATAGGATCCCTCCGGAGCCGACTTAATTTGCAATCCCCAATCGTGTGCGGATGTCGAATCAATGCAACTTCTGTTTGCCCCAGAATCCACTAACGCCCTGCATGTCTTACCGTTAATCAGGATAGATATGAATAACGTCTTTAGTTATTGTCTTAACCAATAACTTACCACTATCAAGAATTACCGACTTAGCCTTCATCAGACTGGCACATCTGGTTGGCTTATCGGAGGATCAACTAGGTAACGTTAATAGTCCCTAGAGACCTATATTCGGTTGAGCCATCTCGCTACCGAAGTATTCAGATATAAATAAAATTGGAAAGTAAATAAAGCTCTATTAATAGAACTAGACCAACTCTTTTATGTTTGGTATTTTACTGAGGCCTTTTAATGGCCTCATCCAAATATCTGATATGTTAAATGGAAAAGGTTTAAATAATAAAACCATTAAAAACCACTTTAGGAAACATAAGTTCTTCGTGCTATTAAAAGCACATTTAGGAGACTTAAGGTCCTCGTACTATTAAGAGTACATTTAGGAAACTTAAGTTCCTCGTACTATTAAGAGTACGTTTATAATTTGCGTACTGCTGCTTAAGAGTACGTTTATTTATAGAGTCTAATGTGGAGGCCCAGCTTATTACAATACAGGCAGACCATGGACCACTTGTCATTCTTGGCTAAGTTCTATAAAGCATACGAAAAGTTTCAGGAAAATGAGAAGATGCTAGGAACATTCATTAAATGGGATTTTGTTCACCACTGTAAAGTGGACATAGACCAATGCGATGGTAATTTATTTCATTACCTTGATTAAGCATTGGGGTACTCGAAGTGCACTAAGAACCACAATTTTAGATGTCCAGAATGCGCCGAGACAATCACGTTGGTACCAAAATCAAAACACATATACGTAAAAACTTGGAGTCGAGAGCACGTCGGCTACTCCAGGATGCTGTATCTCAGCAACTATTGTCAGGCACGAAACCAAGAAATGCTACTGTGGACAAATTACCATAGACGAGATTTATGACCGGACTAGAGGACAGGACCTATAAGAGGATTTTAGGACCGGACTATTTCAGGACGGGACCAGGAGACCAGACCAGGTACAGGAATATAGCATTTTATGAGGGATAATGATGACTCACCGGACGTCATCATAATTTAGTAGCTAGAAGACCAAAACCATAGATGCAGGTATTTATACAATCACCCGTCGTTAGCAAAATTCTTGTCCCACATAGAAACATGATTAATAAATACAGCAGCCGAGCCGTCCATAACGGCACTTCTAAACGAGTTCTCTTATTTCAGAGTTAACAGTCTTTACTAAGCGTTGCTCGCTATCAAAAAAGCTCTTCGGAGTTCATCTCGTCGATTGCCTTCAATCTGTGCTAAGGTGGAGACAGCATTTTCTATGGTTCCGGCACCTGAGTATGAAGAAAATACAGCAATCCACGTGATGCTGGCTTGATTGCTTTCGTAGGCCCAGAACTTGGTTTTTACGTCGGAAAGGGTTAAAAGCAGCCAGAGTAAATTTCTGATCGATGGCCACTTGAAGACGCTGACGCATGTGCAGAATGCCAAGGAAATTCTTCATCTCATCCGTCTCCGCCAACTTCGTGAATCTTTAATGGCGGATTCTAACTCGGCTAGCCCAGTGAGACGCAAAATTGGCCGCACGAAGCCGGTACCCCAAGTGACACCTTACGATATTGTGCACGTTACTCGTAGTGAACAGATTTTGAAACACGCTCAAAATCAAGCACAAGAAATTTCGACACCGGAGGAAGTGTCAGTCGCCTTTGGTGATTTGAATCGTACTCAGGAATTGACAACGGTGGTGAATTCTCCTAGTAGATTTTTTTTTGGAACCAGCTGATTTGCATCTGAAAATGTACACTCCCTAGAATTTGTCGTCATCGGCGAAGCGTTCTTATGATGCATTTCGCAGCGTGATGAAATTTCCACGGCAACAGCTTAGTCAAGGTCAAGTAGCACAGATGGGACTACACAGGGCGCTCCAGAAGGAAGAGGCACCCAAGGCGCTTCTGGACTTAATTGTGGAGAACGAACAAAATTCAGTCGTCGTTAGAGGAGGCTAAGAAACGGGTTTGTTCTAAAAATAAATTTTCTGAAGTATCTTTTGGTTTTTCTTGTTTTTTTAAGAACCCCAAAAAACAAACAAACATAAATCATAGCCTTCTGAAAATAGAACAAGAAGGCTTCGCATAAATATGATTAGTGTGGCCCTCTGAGGCTCTGGCCATTGGGCCTGGGGGCTGGACCGCTGGACCGCTGGGCCGCTGGGTCGCTGGGGGCCTGGGGGCGGCTGGGTCCCTGTATCACAGTGTCGGTGGGGGTCTATTTATTTCAGAAAATATTAAAAACATTCATACCTACATCTCAAATTTCCGGTTTTTCCTGAATTATTTTTACAGGTTTTTAGAAAAGAGGATCCTAGTTCTATTAATAGATCATCCACCAACATGTTGTTGAGGGCGGTCTCGTCTTGTTGTGAGAGTTGATCTTGAGACAACGCCTGTGAACTTTCTTGTTGATTGTGTGAAGGGTCTGGGCTCTGGTGCCCGGGGGTGCTGGTGCGGGCTGCTGTGGGAGTTGTCGGGCTGGGGCCGTGCCTCAGTGTATGGGCCGTGGGCCGTGGGGCTGTAGTGATTTGGTGCTTGAGTGCCCCCTACTCTCTAAGAGTTAGACTCTCTCTACTGTAGAGAGTAGGGCCGAGACCCGAGTGGCGAAGTGCAAACTGCTGGATACAGGGAGTCGGGAAAATCATTGATGACACATGTGAAGAATAGACATTGGGGAACACAAATCTACACCTTTCACTACGACACAGATCACAAGTGCCACAAGAGGGAATTGCGCATATACTTTCATTATGTCTTTGTTTATAGGCCGATTAAGTCACGACATCCGCGAGGCCGACCTTGAGGATGTCTTCATCAAGTATGGAAAGATAAATCGCTGCGAAGTCAAGAACGGAGGTAAGTTATTTTTCGGCAACAATACACTTCATAGAGTTCAGAAGGAATGAGATATATTATAAGTAGTTGCGGAGACTAACCTCAATTATTTATTTCTTGCAGGCTTTGCTTTTGTAGATTATGAAGATAAACGCGATGCAGAGGTACGTCTTCAGTGCTTGTCCGTTCTGTTTTTTGTTTTGTAGCATGTCCGTGCTATTGTATGTTTTGTTGCATTTTTTGTTGCATGTTTCGACTGACAAGTATATAGACGCCAACGTTGATATGATTGTTTTTCGAAACATACACTGCTAGAGGATAAACAACGCGCACACTCGTACGCACACACACGTGTACGTGTACACGTAATATATACAAATGTATATATACATATATATATACATACACACACACATTTATATATATATATATATATATATATTTATGTCTATATATATATATATATATATTTATGTCTATATATATATGTATATATATATATATATATATATATATATATATACATATACATACATACATACACACACGCACACATACATATATATATACATACATACAAACACGCACACTCACACACACACATATATATATATATACATACAAACACGCACACTCACACACACATATATATATACGTACATACAAACACGCACACTCACACACACACATATATATATATGTATATAATACGTGTATCATGTATATACATACATCATCTATTTATATATATATATATATATATTGAAACTGAAATACGTGTTTATTTATATTGTTATGTTAAATTCGTATAATATATATATATACGTGTATACACACAACACACACACGCATACACACACACACCGTATGTATGTGTATATGAAGTATATATATATGTAGATTCAATTCAAACATTGATATATATATAAATATATATTTATATGCATATATGTATATATTTGTATATATATATAAATATATTTGTATATATATATATATGTAAAATATATATTTATATGCATATATGTATATATTTGTATATATATATAAATATATTTGTATATATATATATATGTATTTGTATTCATTTGCATATGTATATATGTATATACATCTATTATATATATTTAGATGTGTCTATAAATAAAATATATATCTAAATATATATATATATATATATACAAGCATATATAATATATATGTATATATATATATGTATATTTAAGTACATATATATATGTATGTATGTATTGTGTATGAACACGTACATACATACGCATGAATATCTACATATATATATATATATATTTTACACAATTAACAAGTTTTCATAAATATGTCTGAAGAACACTTGCCTTTCCACATATACATGTTCACATATCCAGGTCAATTGTCATACACACAATTGTTGGGTAACATTTTGAATCTCTGTGTCAGTATTTGAGTCATAACATTTCAGTATGTTTTCTTCAGGATGCGATGAAGGCTGAGGATGGGCGTGAGATCCGTGGAGCTCGCATTGCCGTGGAGTGGGCAAAGGGACCAAAAACTAAAAACGACGATTGCTTTAAGTGCGGGCGTGGTGGTCACTGGGCCCGAGAATGTCCCAACAGGTATTTCATTCTTATAACTGACATTCATTCAATTCGGTTTGTTCATCCTTGCACATCCTGATGTTCTATCAGGCACGCATACTCCATATTTTGGCCTAGAATTGGTCTGCATAGCAATCACGTCCTGAACGCGTGTTCGTTTATCGATTGTTGCCGGTTCATATACTGATGTTATTGTATCTTATGTAATGGTGTGGTTGTCAATGTCGGACATATTCGTCAATCCACAACTTACTAGTGCGCCAGACGGCGGACCCCCAAGAGATGGTGGTCGAGGCGGCCGATCTGGCCCAGGGTATGCACGTCTTAACATATTTGTTACAATACATTTAGGAACAGTTTACCTTTCTGACCTGTGTCAAGTACTCAACCACTTTTATGCGTCTGTAATATCGATCTGTCCTCGTGAATTCAATATTGTCTGAGTGTAAATGGTATTTATCTTGGTGCTCACCGCTGGGCATATTCCTGTTCCACTGGCAATGTGACCAGGTCCTTGTCCTTGCGAATTTATCATCTATTCATGTACAGTGTCATGTTGTCCTCATGGTACCCTACCTGCCTACTTCCTATATATGCTAACCACTCACCGATATGTGGTCGTTTCAAACCTTCAAACAGTGGTGGTGGTAGATACGACGATTTCGGTCGGGGCGGCGGCCGTGGCGACAAGTACGGTGGAGGCAGATATGGTGATGACAGGCGCGGTGGTTACAGCAGACGCTCACCATCCCCATACCGTCGCAGACGTTCACCCAGTCCTCGCAGACCACGTTCGCGCTCACCGATACGTCGTGGTGGCTCTCGATCTCCTCCGCCAAGACGCTCGAGGACTCCCAGGCGCTCCTCTCGTTCACCCGCGAGAGGGAGAAGTCCTTCGCCCGGCGGCAGGGACGCGCCCCTTCCCCGTGATTCCAGGTACGACACTCTTAAGTGACTTGTTTGTTGTTGGTGTGGTCTCAAGGTAGTACTTTCATTGGTCCCACTCCAGGTCTGAATACCGAAACTCTTCCGAGTTTTCTTCACCTTGGATTTGTGACTACTAAGTCCATCAAATTTTGCTTCACGGAAACAGATCCCCACCCAGAAGGGAATCGGCAAGAAGAGATTCTCGATCTCGCTCACCCCGTCGAGATTAAATGAAAATGTACCCGTCCCATGCTCTCGATGGCTTGAACAGGCCTGTAGCCCAAATCCACAAGGCGGACGTGAATATAGTTATATATAAAAGATACCTCTCCCTGATATGCGAGCCGCATAAGAATGTGATGCGCACCCGCTGCTTAGAACCTGTGGCTTTGCTCTACCGCTATCCGGCCTCAGTCTGTTTTAACCGAATCTCGTGTGCCCGAAGCCCGATGGCCACCCCACCCCACACCCCACTCCACCTGACCTGTATTTAGAAGCCTCTATTAGAAAGTCTCGCCCTTTAAAATCGCCGCGTGTTACCGATAGCTTTGCCCGTTCCATCCCTTTGGAGTATACTGTTCCTGATCTGATCTGATCTGATCCAAGCTTGCCCATTGCTGCCTATGCTGTGCTCTGCTGTTGCTGTTCCGTTTGCTTGTGCCAATTTTAAGTACCCGATGTTCCCGCGTGGCCGCGTGTCTCGCTGCTTTCGCCGGGTGAACTGTATCAGTTCAGTCGGAGGGTTTGTGTGCGGTCGATATGTTCTGATTGGCTGCGGTTTTCTGAATCATGTTGAGCTGTGTGTCTTGTCGATAGCGGGGGCCTGGCCTTTAACCCGGGCGCACTGGGCCGTCTGATCTGGTAGCGCAGAATACGTTCGCCTGTTGAAGAGTGGGCCCTTCTCTGTCTGTGCCAGCCCGTCCCTTTGGCTTCTCGAGAATTGGGAGTGTCTGATCTAGCTATCTTTTCGATACTCATGCTTGTGGATCCAAGTAACACTGGACTCTAGTCCGTTCCATTCCGTTCTGTTCCGTTCCGTCTGTGTATGCTCTGCTGTGCTGCGCTGCATGGCTTTCCAAGGTCATCGTGATCAAGTGACTACACCCACCACATGTGCTGTGCTGATAAGCCAAAGGGGTTTGGTGCGTTTGTCATCGGTGCCTTAGCTCTCTGACTTGTCGTAGCCTGGCCTGGCCTGACTTGTCTCGTTGGTACAATGCCTCCTGCAGTGGGGGTGTATATTACAATATTTCCGCGCCCATCCTCAGTGGAGCCGTCTATCTATCCTTCTTCTATCTGATCGTTTGTTCACCGGTCGAGGGAACAAGTTCGTGTGTCTAAATTATCACTACAAATCTGGATCTGTTCCGCTCACACTGGGCTGTACTGGGTTTTTAGGGGTTTTTTTTGATGATCCAGTGTGTTATGAGTGCCAAGGCCCTTGAGCTTCTGCTCAGATCACCGGGTTCGAGCATGTTCTTCTCTTTCGCTGCCCTTGGTCCTGGGGTCGTTGCCAGAAGATTGTGTGTCTACCTGTACTTCCTGTACCGTATCGTTGCTGTCTATCTTGACTCAAGCCTGTCCTGGCCTGCCGACTCGGGCGTGAAGTGTTGTCGCAGTCGCGCACATAATTTACCCAAATAGCATCAGTTTGGAATAGCCTCTCTAGTCTACCAGGCTGGCTGTGCTACTGTTGTTCCAGATACGGCGCGGTCCACTAAGGACAAATCTGTTTGATCTAGCAATCACCCGCTTGTGCTCAAGAATCTGGATAAGTTAAATATAGGACCGATTTGTGCCGCCCACGTTTTGATGTACAGGCCGCCAACCCCGGATTTTAGATGGCGGAGCTTCCGGTTAAGTTTGTTATGAATGCACGAATGTATCTGTCGCTCTTGGGGGAAGCTTGCCCGTCCCGCTGACTAATTACAAAACCTTCGCGTCGATAGCACGATTTACGTTACTTTGTCAAGTCAGTTGTACTAATCGAAGGTTTGCGGATGTTGGCGCATACATCACTGGTATACGCACATACTTGACTGGACAATGGCTATGGTCTCCACGCAATGCTCGAATAGTCTTCTTGGCGTTCTTCGCTAACCCATAGCTGCTAACCGTAGCTTGCGCACACCCCGGATCCAGCCGCAATGTCTCCATGTGTCTAGCAAGCCGAATGACTGATCAAAGCTTGCTTAGTCTCCCAAAGTAGTTGTTTATCGGCCGCCTCCTTTCCCAGTCTAAGGGACACCCCCCACTTTGTCCGCTGAAATCTAGCCGATTCGTCTGCAGTGTAATCTCAAGTCTATTCGTCTGCAATGGAATCTAGCCTGTCCGTCTGTAGTGGAGGGTATGTTTACCTCCAATCGTCCAGCCGTTTACTTGATGAACATATATGTACTGAAGCTTGGGCCTTCTACCCGCTGCCGACACTGGCCTATGTACCTAGTTTTTGGGTAAGGTCGCCTATCGGTTTGCATCCGCTGCCGGCTTTGCGATGGCATATCCACTGTAGTCATCGCGTACGACCGCCTCTCATACACGTCTTCGGCCGTTAATGCTATGGGTGTTGACCTGAGAATTATTACTATTCAAATTTGGTTGTTCCTCGTCGTTCTAATTTGCATGGTTTGCGATTGTAGTATCCGTTCTCGGGTTGCCATATGAAAACTTTTCTGTTGTCGCACATACCCCCTCTCAGTCCCGTGTGTGTCTAAAAGAGGCTACTGACACTGTATGTGCCCATTGCAGGCAGGCTAGTACGCCTATGGATTGGCATCTTCTAATCTATATTCCCTGATGCGGCACAGTACATATCTTTTAGTTACTTGTACAAGTCTGTCCTTTCATCAGATACGGATGCTCCTCATCAGACTCGTTGGATCTGTGAGCTATGCTAAATGTTTCAACAACAGCACGGTCAGTATCCGGAATGAGGTACATCTGCAGCCTGTTGTCCTGTAATGCTAATGTGTGTCTGTGCGTTCATTAGTGATCGGGGCCTGTTCGTGGGTAGTGGGTGTCTCACTGCCAGCCTTGCCCCTGATTCGACGAGATGCGTCCCTAATTGAATTAGGGACTTTCCAGTCGTTGGATGGTATTGGTAAATACCGGTCTCCTTGACCTGGACTAGGAATGTGGCCGTACCATCTGTGGTAACCATGACCGGTTGGGAGGTCAATTGGTCGCCGTATTACCCCCATAGACCACTGTGCGATGATGCTGGTCCTCTGGTGACCGGTCTTCGGCCTTGGTCCACTCTCAGCCACATGGTCTGCTTGTAGTAACGCGATAGAAACCGACATATCTGTTCGAAGACCTTCCAGTCTTAGGTTACGGCTGCCATAAACCCAGTGCTTTGCCTGAACCGTGATAGTGACCGGATACCAGTGGCTATATGTGGCGTGTTCAGTGTTCGGAAATGGTACCCTCTTCGCGGTCTATTTTACTTGACATGAAGAAATTCGTCTTTGAGTTGATCGTTTATTGGTTTCCGGACCTGGTTGCCTAGTGGTCGCCTCTTTTGCCTGTAATAACCTACGCCTTCTGTTCGTTGGCTTCAGATATGGTTGCCAATTAGCCTAGCCACCTTCTGTGCCCAGAAATTCGATAGTGCGAGTTCTCATTAGCTGACCGTAAACAGTTTCATCTATCAATTCGGATACCTTTTGGCCGCTTTTGTCTGGCCCATATTGCGAATTGCGATACAACTTGCCCCCTATGTGGCAACTCTTCTCTGCGCATTTGATCGACTCTCCTTGGAGTATCTCGGTGTCGTCTCTGGTCAGGATTGCCCCTGAACCGTGTCTCAGGTCGGTGAAGAAATAGAATCCATACTTTCGATGATAAGCGTAATCTGCTGGCCTACTGAGTTGCCGGATATGGCCTCCCCCTTCAAGGTTAATACAAACTACGGGACAAACCTTTTCGCTTGAAAGCATGGACAAAAGCATAAAGCAAACCGCCTCAGTCCCGATTCCTTATCTGTCGGTGTTTAATCTTTCGGCCCGGTTTTCGCTTCTCGGACTAATTTGTCAAAGCCACCCGGACATGTCCTCGCGCAGTCTCCGAGTATTCAGACCCATCACCGATATTTTCGGCGCACGTTCTGCTGTGGTATCTTTCGTCGAAGTCCTGGTTTCTTTCTCCGTGGTCATAGTTGACCGACATTTCAATTCTCTTGTCCTGTTCGAGCCGAGTCTGGCCCTTTGGCATGATATACAACCCTGTGCCTTCATATCACTGACACGCTTCTGCTTCCGCCGACTATATATGAAAGCTGTCTCCCCGGTGTTGTCTGGCTGTGCATTTCTCTCTGCATCATGTCCACCGCGACGCGCCCTCTTATCGGCCGCTGTGTATTTAAACGGTCATATGAGTCACTCCACGTGTCTAGTTGCCGGTGTGCGAACTGCCGTAGAGCGAGCCACTGTTTAAGATTAGTTTTAGTTTGGAGTCTTGCAAGCCATGGAAATACCAGCGGTGTGAGGAAGTTGATTTTTGACAGCTTGCATTTGGGTGTATTAGTGCCTCTGCACTGGCCTAGGACCCAGTCGTCTTGACATAATGTAGGTAGACTGTCGCACTCTAGTCACAAGAGATATGTGTCAAGTTGAATCCTATACCGCTGCAACCAGGCACAGCTTGTGTGTTCAGTCTGTTTCCCAATAATATATGTGCTGCATTAGAGTCGGGGGTTGGATAAGTCAACTAGCCCAACAAGTCTTTGTAGTAACTGATGCCTCGCAAGTCAGGTGATATGCGACATTGGAATGGAGTGTGGTGTTTCCTACAGATTGTGTGCTATATCAGGTCGAGTGGTTGGTTCATTCAACAAGCCGTGGTAGTATATGATGTCTTACAAGTCAGCTGATATGCGGCATGTGAATGGAGTGTGGTGTTTCCTACAGATTGTGTGCTATATCAGGCCGAGCGGCTGGTTCAGTCAACAAGCCGTGGTAGTATCTGATACCTCATACTCGAGTGAACTTTACGTGGGAAGCGTGAGTTCTATCACACACCATGGCTATATCAGACAGCGATGTACGCGCGTGTTGTCGCGTACGTCATACGTGATAAGAGGTTGGGAGACCATATCCCTGTCACATACGTTGTACAGATGCTTGGCGCACTTGTCTGCTCGAGCCACTCGCTTCCTACGCAGCTATTGCACTTGCTCTTGCCCCCACCCCCCCCTTATACTCCAGTGTTCATTCCTGGTGGGTTGTTTACTACCCTCTTGCCATATTGGCCTGCTTCTCTCTACCTAGCCATCGAAGTCGCGCAGTCACAGCGGCTCCGTCGCCCCGAGTCTGAGTGTGCGTTGTGTGCACTGCGATATCATAGTGTAGCTTCAGGACATCATACTCATTGATTGGTGTAGCTTCAGGATATCATACCCATTGATTGGTGTAGCTTCAGGATATCATACCCATTGATTGGTGTAGCTTCAGGATATCATACGCATTAATTGGTGTAGCTTCAGGATATCATACCCATTGATTGGTGTAGCTTCAGGATATCATACCCATTAATTGGTGTAGCTTCAGGATATCATACCCATTCATTGATGTAGCTTCAGGATATCATACCCATTGATTGGTGTAGCTTCAGAATTTGTATCAGGTGACCGTCTGTTTGTCCAGCCTTCGCGTAGGGCCGCTCTCTGCCCTATCGCCGGCTTTGCATGCGCGAGTTCTCAGGCCGTAGTGGGTCATCTGTCTCTTGTCCTCTGTTTAAATGTCCGTTGCCTTGCAGTTGCATCGGTGTTGCTTTAGTTTCCTCACCCTCGGCTGCTGGGCAGTCCCAGTCTCCGAATCTGTACCGTCTCTCAGGCACAATGGTCGCTTGCGATTGCGTTGATCACCCCCTTCGGATGTGGTGGAAAAGAAGTATGTATTTGCCAGCTCGGCCTCACTATGGAGAGAGGGGTTGGCAACTCATGCTGCTGTTCTTAGTGGCCCATCCGAGATGGGTATGTGCGCTGCGCGAGTCCCTATGTGTACCCGGTCCAGTCCCAAGCCGATAGCTTTCTCGCAACTGTATTTTCTTATCATTAGAGTGGTTACCGGTAGCTTGGTGTTGACTAAGGCGTGTAGGCCCTATTGCTTTTAGCCGCCTGCTTGACCTGTTTGTCGATGGTTCGTGCCTGTATGCGATAGTTCTGGTTCCCCGAGTGCTACTAAACGGTAGCCTGTTCACTCCGTGGGAACGACGGCCCCCCAGGTGCAACCAACCCCAGTAAAGTAATAGTACCTTCCATGTGAGGATGTGCATAACCTGTCCTGTTGTCGGGCACAGCTGTCCTTGATCCTATGCCGCGCCTGCAATGTGACGGCACCATCTTCTCGAGTACTGGAGTGGTCTGTGTAGTATTCGGAAAGGATGACCAGTCAGCCACGTTCCGGAGAATCAATCTTCGGATACTGTGATTATGTAGCCGACTCTTTTGCGTGCACTATACAGTTCTCATCTCTCGTTCGATGACCATAGTCGGTCCAATCTACGGGCGTATCCGCCCCGGTGCTGCTCGAAACCAGTTCAATATCAGAATATGTCTTAGTTGCCTTGCGCTTTTGAGGACTAAGTTGCCTGGTCCAATGGAGGCTAATTGCCTAGTACCCATGGTGGCTTAATTGCCTAGTGGTACCATCGTGGCTTAATTTCTTAGTGGTACCCATGGTGGCTTAATTGCCTAGTAGTACCATGGTGGCTTAATTGCCTAGTAGTACCCATGGTGACTTAATTTCCTAGTAGTACCATGGTGGCTGAATTGCCTAGTGGCACCCATGGTGGCTTAATTGCCTAGTGGCACCCATGGTGGCTTAATTGCCTAGTAGTACACATGGTGGTTTAATTGCCTAGTGGTACCCATAGTGGCTTAATTGCCTAGTGGTACTCATAGTGGCTTAATTGCCTAGTGGTACCCATGGTGGCTTAATTGCCTAGTGGTACCCATGGTCTTCGTCGTCTAGGTGGGTGGTGCTGGTGGTCTTCGTCGTCTAAGTGGATGGTGCTGGTGGTCTTCGTCGTCTAAG